ATTTTTCAATATCACATCCTAGAATCACATTTCTATAAATACCTAAGTGATCGAAGCGTCTAAGGCCAAAAGCATATCGCGTGCAGCAGTTTACTAGGCATCGTAACTTATTGAGGGATTCAACATCAAGTTTTGAGTACACTAAAGAGGAATACATAACAATAGGAATAATTAGTTGTTTTACCAACAAAACACGCATGTCAACCGGTGTATACTTTACAGAAAGGTTCAGACCTCTTAAACATGCAAAAGATTTTCTAATAACTTGGTTAACATGTTCGCCAGCATGCAGATTAGTGTTCAAATGGAAACCTAGACATTTTACCGAATTAGTATATTTAATAATTGAGTTGCCAAGGACCTTACATTGTCGTCGTGCAACTATGACCTTTTTTAAACCCAGACTGGAGAGGAGAGAGAAGTTTAAAGCAGTTAAGATAAGTACGTATTTGATCAGCCATAATGTTCTCACACACTTTAGAGAGTGAAGGGAGAATACTGATTGGACGATAATCGGAACATGAGGAAGCATTAGCCTTTTTTTCAATAGGAATAATCTTGGCTTTTTTCCAAACAGTAGGAAAACATGATGTAGTGAAGCAGTGATTAATAATGTGCGTCAAAGGAATAATAATAAACGGCAGTATAAGTTTAATAAATTTATGTGGAATTTCATCTATTCCAATAGCGTTTGACTTAATTTTCATGACATTATTAAAGACAGTTTCATCACTCACACATACAAAGTCAAAAATGCGTTCGGAGGGGACACTCTCAAGTTCAGGGAAGACCGGAGCAACGTTCAGTCTATCTCCTATAGGAACAAAGAAATCATTTAAAATGTTAGGATCAATGCTACATACATTTCTTGAGCTATTAACCACCCCTAGAGCTTTGATGTTGCTCCAAAGTGATTTTGTAGGTAATTAGGTATCTAGTTTAGATTTAAAGAACCTAGATTTAGCAAGATAAATAGCCATTCGAGCTAAATTTCGAGCTGCTTTAAACCGCATCCAGTTAAAAACATTCGGATATCTTTTCCACACTGCATACTTCCTATTTCTCTTGCTTATCATACGTTTGATGTCAGTACTGAACCATGGACATGAAGAACTTTTAACATGTATAGTACGATATGGAATATACTGATGCAAATAATTAATAATTATATTATTTAAGACTGTCAATTTGTCATCAACTGAAGCACCAAACCAGCAATTACTCCAGTCAACAGTGCTAAGATCACGACATAATAACTGAGTATCAACTGATTTAAAATCCCAGAATGAAAAAAGAGAGGGATTGACATTTCTCGTTACATAATAATCTAAGGTAGTAAATAATAAATCATGATCAGAAACAAACGAAATCTGATCAAATAACAATACTTTGGTCAGATCAGACACTATCACTGAGTCAAGGAGACTTGGGCGTACATTATTACAATATCTAGTAGGCACGGCATTATTCACAATGCTTAGACCAACCATAGCTATAAGGTCATTCAGTGCAGACACTTTAGCATTGCTCAAAAGAATATCGGTATTAAAATCACCAAGTATAGCAAAAAAATCAAAATTGACAGCAATAGGAAGGAGGGATTCAAAAATAGGACCACTACAGTACCTTTTGCTGGGGTTATAAGCACATGTAACAAGGATTTTATGACTACCTAAATAAATACATACACATATAAATTCAATTTCATTATCTTCCGATACACAGATCAATTGACTTTTTAAATATGATTTACAATGAATAGCAACGCCGCCACCCAATTTATATTTCCTATCATGCCGAAATAAAACAAAGGCGCTTATAGATAGGTATGAGCTATCAAGATGGAAGTCAAACCAAGTCTCAGAAATGCAGATAACATCTACTTTGCTGTCTTCAAAAACAGCTCTTACACGATCTAATTTTAAGCCAGAAAGACTTCTCGCATTAAAATGAACTATATTAATACCACGTTGTTTACAAAAAATATTAATTAAAGTTTTATTGCTCGATTGCAAATTGTGCATAGCCAATTGGTAGACAAAGGGGATAGCATGGGGGGAGATTGGATGGCATTGATTGGAAACGGACTGACAGTGTTTGACGAAGATGTAGATGTTTTAACTGGAGGAGAAGTTGGACAACAATCTCCTCTAAAGGCAGAGTTCCAATCGGTATGGCTATGCAGACCTGAACAGTTACGAAGGTGGCACCAGTTATTGCAACTATTGCACCTAACAGATGTTTGGTTTCTGCTAATAATATTGTTGCAGACAGAGCAGTGCCATTTTGAAATAGCTGGTATGGCAGGACCAGGATTAGATTCAATACCGGCTATTAGAAGTAACATAAGAAGCAAGATGGCCGGAACTTGCTTCTTAGTGGGAAAAACACATATATACGATATATGTCAAACAAACACATACCTGCTTGTGAAGTCCCTTTGGGGGTGGTCGAACGACACTTGGTCGTCTTTGACGAGTGGCTCCGGGACGTAAACCCGGCCGTTCTTGGAACCATTGTACTATTCATAATTGAGAACTGTTTCTTTGACATACTTAAATCAACGAAAATAACGGACTGGAAAATACTTACGGAATTACTAGACAGGCAGTAATAGGTTAAAATATTAGTCTTAGAGAAGGAACTGATAAGGATTTTCTCTTAATAGAGAAAATAAAGATAGCTACAAACTCTAAAGCTCCCACTAATCAAAGCGCAAAACTTCTTTGATCTATCTAAAATAATAAAAGATACGATAATCAATTGTAACAAATTTTGTGGAACACTATGTAATAAGAACATGTTTTTATTTTTGTTGCTATAATCTTATTTTTTTGATCTTAATAAAGTTTTCTTGTGTGCACATTAAACAAAAGTGCGTGTAAATTTTATTTTACTTTTTTTATTGAATTCTGTGCAATTTGGTAAATTCTTTAACAAATACACAAATTGTGTGTAGTAAATACATTTTTTTCCATTTGAACAAACTCATTCGAGCCGTGGGTTAAATTAAAGAGGCAGAAAAGTGCAAACGACGCACTATATTGCAATTTCTCCATAAATAGGAATTACCGATCCCCTTTTTTTTACAGCAATAGTGCCCAAAAATGACTGATCTAACAGTACGAATAGAAGGAAACAGATTAACCAATCTAATAATAAAGAAAATTGGGCAATTACTTAAAAAAAATGGGAGGAATTTACGGAGAGCTTAGATATAGACGATGAGACCGTCTGGGGTCTCAATAAATACTTTCGGTTCAAGAACAAAGTATTTATTCCACCAATGCATGGAGAAGAAGGCATACAATTTAGCACCTAAGATAAATCAAAGGTAGAGACAGAGGCTTAAGCCCAATTGAACCAGAGGAGAAAAGTAAAGTCGTGAGCAATCTCAATCATCAAGAATAAATGTTAAAAAAAATCTACCACAGCTACCATAAATATGATCGCAAATGTCATAAATACAGCACTTCGCCAAGGAAATTTTTCAAATGCCTGAAATACAGTATCAATTATTGTGTTCCTTAAACCAGGAAAAAACCTAATTTTCCGCAAAATTGGAAACCAATAAGCTTATTGCCAACTCAAGGTAAAATAGTAGAAAAAGTGATTCTCTCCAAATTAAAAGACATGGTTGAAGAGAAAATTTTGATTTTTCCAGAGCAGTATGGACTTAACAAAGATGATTCGATAGAATTGCAGCTTGCAAGAATTTCACAAACAGTTCTGAAAGCATTGAGCAAACGGAAATATACAAGAATGGTAATATTCGACATTAAAAAAGTATTTGATAAGGTTTGGCATGATGGATTAATACTCAAAATGCAACAACAAGGAATTCTACCGAAATTAATCAAAATCACCGAAAGTTTCTTCCAAAATTAGAAATTAAGTAAGTCAGGGTTTTCTTATCAACAAGAAATATGGAAGCAGGATTGCCTCAAGAATAACCTCTGTTACCAATTTTGTATAACTTATTCACTTATATACAGCTGATATACTGAAAATATAGAAAAATTCATTATGTTTGCTATATATGCCGATGACCCTTGCATTATGCATTTCAACAAAAAGGAAAGCCAAATCACAACAAATTTTCTAAAAAATATAGATAAACTAGAATAATACTTCAAACGGTGGAAGTTTAAGATAAATGCAGAGAAAATATAATCGATTTCTAAGCATTGAAAAGAAACTGAAACCCTCAAAATTTCAGGATTAACAACAGAGAAATAAACTGGAAAGAAAAAGTAAATTACCTGAGAATAATTATGGATAAGAGATTTTTATGGAAGACATGCATGCATGAAAAAGAAATGATTTGCAATAGACTACTAAAATCTTTACGACAATGATAAAAAAATTAAACTTTATTATAGATGAGTGTTGGGCTATTAGTCAGATTTTTTGATTCGGTTTTTCAATAAGAATTTTTTTATTGTTTTATTTATTTAATATATATTTCCGACGTTTCGGTTGTTTAAGACCGTCATCAGGGTAAAAAATTTTTTAAAACAACAATAGAATAAAATTTGCATATGAAAAAAATTTTTTGACATACGTTTTAAATAATTACAACGAAAAATGTACAATGAGTTTTTCTTTAGAATGACTTTTCTAGCAATACCCAATAGACAACAGAAATATTGTCTATATATCGCCGCAAATTGTATGTTGGTCTAGTCATAATATGTAAGGACTCCAGAGTAAGGCGTCGAGACAAGGAATGTTCAGTATTAATGACCTTTACTGAAGCAAAATCTGGGTAATAATTTTTGTCAATAAAGTGTGAGACTAAGGCTGATTGTTTATCGGGATTAATTTGTTTTAGTATATTTTTATGCTGACTTATCCTTTTATGTAATTGATTTTTCAATTACTTCAAAGCTATTTTAATTACTGTTGCAAATAAATGAACATATAAATATACAAAAATTTTATTATATGTATATTAAAATATATTTAAATAATCTTATAATGTTGTTTTTTAGGAGATCAAATTTACATAACGTCTCAGATATATTTGTAATGGGTGGCTGTTTAATACTTGAATGTCTGGTATTACTACACTGGTGCGAGCGAAATGGTTTTGGGCCATTAGGAATTACTGGGCTGTCGATGGGCGGTCATGTAAGTTATCTGCAATTTAAATATGGTATTTTTATTTCAAAGTATTAAATAATAAGATAAGAAATGTTTGTGTATATATTAACGTGCACTATAATGTATTACCTTATGACAACCTTTTTTAATTGAGTATCGTTTTTGTTAATGGTATTAATAATATAAATTAAAAGGGTTTTTTTTTATTTTTTTAGAAAGCTTTAAGTCTTAAATACAATTTTAGTGTATACAACCTGGCTATTAGTCACCAAAAGCTCATACAGAAAACCAGTTTTTATTGTTTCTTGTCTTTTACATATTTTAATTATCTTTTAAGTTGTCTATTGTAGTGTGCTCTGTTTATAGAACAAATGCATTATTGTTTATAATAAACCGGGGTTCGGCGATTGAAGTTTTATCTATTCAAGTGACCATATCTTTTTTGTGTGAAATGTTTTTTTTATTAATTGAAATTATAAATATTTGTAGAAATAATCAAAACTTCAGAATCCATTCACTCTAACTCGATGTGCCCACCTTTTGCCTTGACTATACGCAAACGGTTGAAAAAATAAGTTGCATAAGTTTCACGAATGGTATCGTCTGGTATTTTGGCATATTCCTGAGCAATGGCTTCCTTCAGCGTATCCATACTGGCGTATTTTTTAGTCTTCACCTTGATCTCTAATATGCCTCAGACGGAATAGTCGGATTTGCATCCGGTGAATTCGAAAACCATTGAAGAGAAATGTGGATGATTTTTTAACCATTATCGGCTTACACGAGCTTTATGAGATGGCTGAAGCGTCAATGGTCTATGACCGTAATGTTTGCATAACCACGGCTCTAATGCAATTTCCAAAACATTTTCCCGATAATAAGTCGCATTGATATTGACACCAAGCTCGATTGCAAACGATTGGAGAGGATCCATCGATGGTCACAGCTGCTTATACCATTACTTGATGGAAAATTACTTTGGGTGACAATGCGTAGTCTCAAATGACAGTGAGCGGCATTCAATTAAGTAAACACAATCATTTTGAGAATTTGTGAACTGCTCAATTATCTTTTGGAACTTGTAAGGCACCTTGAGTACTTTGAGCTCATTTTGGAGTTTGCGTTGGATGTTTTGCTGAGAAATTTTTAGTCCTTTGGTCATTTAAACCCTTTCAGGTGATGTTGATTTTTTTTCGGTATTTTGTGTTTGAAAAAGTAAGTCGCGTTTGTGGTGCGCTCCGTGTTTTTTCGAAGTGAAACCTAGTAAAAGACTTGTCATTAAATGCGAAAGTACCAAAAAATATAATATAATATGATAATTAGTTAAAGAACTTGCCGAAAGTGCCGAAATATCGCGCCCGCGGTGTTATTTTATTAATTGATTGGATTTTTTTATAATATTCCGAACGGAAAATCAAAAACATAAAACAAAAAATAACATTCACCTAATATTTGTTATTTGATATTTTATTACACATATACAATCAGCTGATATAGACAGCATAGTGTTGCAAAACTACTAAACTAGTGCACAATTTTTGGCTTTACATCGTTTAAAAAAATAATATTGTGTAATTCAATTTGTCAGCTCTAATAGCGTAGTTGTAAGTTATTTTCTTTTTATATATATATCAACTAACAAAAATTACGCAAAGAACTTAATCTAATATGAATCCGCAGCAACCTCCACTTTATGGTGGAGGAAAAGTATCTAAATTTAAAGAGAAAGCCGAAAGTAGTGCTATATCTAAATATATAGAAAAAATAAACAATATGGAGCAGCTATGTCTTCAACTTAGAAATGAGATAGAAGTTCTTAAAAAAGAAAATGAGTTGCTTAAAGGTTCTCCATTACCTGTTACCCAAAAGTCTGAGAATGTGCACAATCAAATTGTATACGAAACTGATGAAGATGAACTTGCGAAAGAAACGGAGTGGATCTTTAAGAAAAGGCCCGTTAAGAAGAGAAAACCTCATCGCTCTCCTGACTCCATATCTCCTTCCAAGGACAAAAATATGGCATCAGTTTATGCAATTAAGAATGCCTCAGCAGACCAAAAATCATCACGTCCACTGCCAATTATGGTCTCAGAAGGAATGAAGTACTCAGATCTCCTTCTCATTGCTAAAAACAACTGTAAAGAAGAATTTTCTATCAAACTTTTAAATAGTACTTTGTACAAAATCAGTACATCTGAGGTTAATGACTACAGATCAATAACAAAAGCACTATCTACGCAAAAAATTGCTTGGTATTCTTATGAAAATAAACAACTGCGTCCGATAAAAGTAATAGCTAAACACCTTCCAAAGTCATGTGACCCGTCTGAGATTGTAACTGATCTGCAAGAGAAAGGATTGAACATTCTAAATGCGGTAAATAAGTGGAAGCCCTTCTCAAAAGAGCCACTCGACATGTTTATGCTCACATTTGATGCGTCCGAAGATATTAAGAAAATACACGAAATCAAAACTATATTGAATTGTGTTATTAAAATAGAAACAATAAAGCGGTCGAGACAAATACCACAATGTAAAACATGTCAAGAATATGGTCACACTCAAAACTATTGTGGCAAAATAGCCCGATGTGTTAAATGTGCCGGCAACCATAAGACAATAGAATGCAAAAAGCCTGATCAGCAACAACCTAAATGCTGCAACTGCGGAGAAGAACATCCGGCCAATTACAGAGGTTGTGTAGTGGCTAAGGAGCTCCAAAAACAAAGAAATAAAATAATTCAAGAGAAGAATGGAAATCTCCAGCGAAATAAAGTGACCAAAAATCAACATAATAATAAACCATCTGATTTAATAAACAAAAACTTAAAACCTACTAACAAAAACAATCCAACGTACGCTGAAATGGTGCGATTCAACGCCCAGCCTGATGAAAATCATAAAATTCTTAACCAAATATTAGAAAAATTAACTCTACAAGAAAGCTACTATAAAATGTTAGATAAGAGGCTTACTAAGTTAGAACAAAAAAAGATAACTTAATTAATAATGTCAAGTTTACTAAAAATAATGCTTTGGAACTCTAATGGTTTACTCAAACATTTTAGAGAGCTTGAACTTGTTTTAGCAGCCAGAGAAATAGATGTTTGCCTTATTACTGAAACGCATTTCACACATCATTCATACCTAAAATTTAAAAACTACGAGTTTCATCACGTAGTACATCCCAGTAATTGCGCTCGAGGAGGTAGTGGAATCTTAATTCGGAAATCTCTTAAGTATTTCGTATCCAAAATAATCTCCAATGAAGAATTTCAGGCGATAACCATTACGCTTGATCTGCAATGTAAATTACAAATTACTTCTGTCTACAGCCCGCCAAGGCACAAAATTAAAACAGAGCAGTACAAACAGCTTATTGAAATGCACAAACACCGATTCATCATGGGCGGTGACTTCAATGCAAAGCATACGCACTGGGGTTCTCGTCTAATCACAACCAAGGGGAGAGAACTTCTAAAAGCGATACAACAAACTGGCTGTGAATGCATGTCATCCAGAAACCCTACGTATTGGCCAACTGATACTGAAAAAATACCAGACCTCCTTGATTTCTTCATCATAAAGCAAGTCTCGACATACAATCTTAAAATCGAAGACGAAACCGAACTTAACTCTGACCACTCCCCGGTATACCTTACTACATATGGCTCTCCTATTGTTAACAACGTGACGACTAAAATTGTCAATAAGTCAACTGACTGGAATTACTTTAGAACATTCCTTTCTAATAATATTTCGGCTTCGACTGAAATTTCCGGTGAAGGCGATGTGGAGTTCGAAATTATAGACCTTACAAGAAAGCTTCAACAAGCCGCGTGGTTAAGCACTCCTATATGGAAGAAATCAAACTGTCCGCATAGATATCTAACGGCCATATTAGAACTACTACAAAAAAAACGTAAAATAAGGAAAAAGTGGCAACACTCGAGATCCCCAGCAGTTAAAGCTAATTTAAATAGGCTGACTAAAGAACTTACCTCTGAGATCAAGCGCTTTAAAAATAAACAATTCCATTCATACTTGTCTGATTTGTCCAATGATCGCAGCACAGATTACTCCTTGTGGAAATGCACTCGAAATATAAAACGTCCAGCCTCTCATAACGCACCAATAGACCTTCACTAGCCAATGGGCCAATAGTGATAAAGAAAAAGCTGAACTTTTTTCTGAACATTTAACAAAAGTATTCTCTATTTCTGGTAGTGAGAATAGTGTTGAAACTTGTTATCTGGGTACTAATAGCATAAACAATTTGCCGCCAACTAGCGAGCTTGAAGTAATGATGATAATAAAGAACGAACTTAAGCTAAAAAAAACACCAGGATATGATCTCATAACTGCAGAAATTCTTAGAGAAATCCCAGCGAACTGCATAGTTAAAGTTCCTAACATCTTCAATGCTGTTCTACGATTGAAATATCTCCCTTCGTTGTGGAAGGTCTCAGAAATTATTATGGTCCTTAAACCGGGGAAAGATGCAAACGAGGTTAGCTCCTATAAGCCAATAGCTCTCCTACCTGTGCTTTCAAAAGTATTTGAAAAAATTATGCTTAAACGGATGTTGCCTTTACTTGAACAACAGCAGACCATACCTATGCATCAATTTGGATTCAGGTGTAATCACTCGACCATTGATCAAGTCCACAGAATCACAAACGTAATCGTAACTGCCCTTGAGGAAAAGAAAGTATGTTCAGCAGTATTCTTAGACGTATCCCAGGCTTTCGACAAAGTTTGGCATACAGGTCTACTAACAAAAATAAGAGACATTTTTCCGTTGAAGTATTTCGATATGGTTTCTTCTTATTTGACCAATCGTTACTTCCGTGTTAAGCATGGAAACGATTACAGTGAACTCCAAAAAATCAACGCTGGGGTACCCCAAGGCAGTGTACTTGGTCCTTTGTTATGTTTAATATACACACATGATTTACCAACGAGCTCAGCGACGTTTACAGCGACGTTCGCTGACGATACAGCTGTTCTAACGATTGGAGATGATGAACTAACAGCAGCCAGGCGTCTGCAGTCTTCTGTCAATGACATTATCGATTGGGCTGAAAAGTGGAAAATAAAACTTAACCACTATAAATCAGTTCACGTCAACTTTACAAACCGAAATATCAGATTTATGCCCCTCTACATTGATGGAATACAAATTCCACATTCTAATACGGCTAAGTACCTCGGTATGACATTGGATGCAAAGCTGAGATGGAATGAACATGTAAAAAAAAAGAGAGATGAACTGAATATAAAATACAGATCAATCAAATGGCTTATTGGAAAGAAGTCGAAACTGTCACTTCATAACAAGATTTTAATTTACAAACAAATATTGAAACCAATTTGGACATATGGTATTCAGCTCTGGGGATGCGCTAGCAGCACACATGTTGAAACCATACAAAAATTCCAAAACGTTATATTAAGGGGTGTGGCAAATGCACCATGGTACGTAAGGAACTCTGATCTGCATCGTGATCTAGGGATAAATACAGTGGTGGAAGAAATACAGCGAAATGCAAGAATGCACCTGCAGCGATTGTACTCTCATCCGAATGATGAAGCTAACGAACTGGCGTCAATAGAGCCAACACGTCGCCTTAAGCGTCTAAAACCTTGTGATCTTTGGTCGCAACCTGTCCGAAATGCGTGATAAATGAACTTGCGTGATTTCTGATTAAATTCTTTATAATTGTTGATTAAAATTGTTTGTTAGCTTATTATATTGTTAGCTAGTTACTCTTATAAAATTTATTTAATCAAATAAAATAAATTTATATATAAAAAAAATAAAAAAAAAAAACAAAGGTGATGTTGATGCTTTTTTTCGTCCACCACCTTATCCTTCGGCGATGCTGCTGATACACAAACAGTTTATTGACTTTGAGGTCACCAACAATAGCTGGTTATGATTTTCCAGCCAAATATAACGTAATCACATTATCACGTTTAAATTCCATTTCGAATAAAAGTTAGACGTACATGCTTGTAAGAGCTTTTAAAAAATACAAACAGCTGTCATGTGTATGAATTTCACGTAGTTGGCAATATCAGTTTGACATATGTACCTGTGTGAATTTGGTAACACTTCAATTATCTTATCCTTTATACCTTCTGCTCAAAAAGTACCCGTTAACTACTCCTTAAGTAATAGACCTTTATCAAAAAAATTTTTTTTATGTTGGCACACCCTTTCTTGACATATGGTACAAATTTGAGCGCCACCTGTCAATTAGTTTGTTTAATGTGAAAGCAGTTATTAATGTGAGACTACCTCAAGTGCACTTAGCGATTTTTACTATGGAAAATTCAGTTGAACAATGAGTTTGTTTGAAATTTTGTGTTTTAAACGAAATTTCATGTGTTGAAGCATTGAAAATGGTGCAGAAAGCTTACGGGGAATCTTCTATGTCTCGAACACAGGCATACGAGTGGTATAAATCATTCAAAGAGTGTCATGAAGTGAGCGAAGATTTGCTTCGTTCTGAACCTCCATCAACATCAAATAGCGAAGAAAATATGGCAAAAATCAAGAAAATTGTGCTGGAAGATCGTCGTACGACTGAAAAGGAGATTGCTCGTAACTTAAATATCTCAAATGGATCCGTTCACCACATTCTACATTATATATTGGGCATGAGACGCGTTGCAGCTCGATTTGTACCGAAACACCTTGATTTTTTGCAAAGAAATTACACGTAATATACGAAAGAACGTGTGTGAGGAAATGATTTTTGAGCATGGAAACGACTCTACATTCATGAAACGCATCATAATAGGTGATGAGACATGAATTTAGAGGTTTATGTCGAAACCAGTCAACAATCTACCGAATGGCGCTTCGAAAACGAGAAAAAACTCAAAAAACCGCGCAAAAGTCGCTCTAAAATTAAAGTTATGCTCACTGTTTTTTCGACTACCGCGGTCATTACGAATTTTTGCCAGAATATCATACCATCAATAAAGAATATTACCTCGGCGTTATGCGGCATTTGTGTGAGTCTAACCGTAAGAAAATACCAGATTTGTGGAAAGCTAACAATTGGATTCTTCACCACGACAATGCTCCATTGCACACGGCTCTTGTTGTACTAGATTTTTTTATCAAACACGGCACCATTGTCGTCGTTTGTCGTCGTACCATATTCGCCAGATCTGGCACCGTGCGACTTTTTCCTGTTCCCGAAACTCAAATTGCCCCTTCGTGATAAGCGTTTTGAGTCGATTGAATCGGTAAAAGAGAATTCGCTGAAGGAATTAAAAGCCATACCTGCACGGACTTACGAAAAGTGAATGGAAGATTGGGTTATGCCAACGCTTACGTTGGCATATGTGTATCGCTTCAGAAGGAGAATATTTTGAAGGAGATAAAATAAATTTGGAATAAAATTTAAATTTGTGTGTTTTATTTATAAAATCCGGGTACTTTTTGAGCAGAAGTGTCATTATATTTGAAGTAGTTGTTCTTCCTAAGGCAAATGTTTAAAATTTTAAGAAACTTTTAAAAGTTTCTTTTATTAATTTAGGTGTCTTTGTTAATGTTTCCCCATTTCTTCATAATTATATTTATTACTACGTAGGTTGGAGTGTTCAATGTGACGGCATCCAGGTATATTAAGACTTCATCCCTTTCAAGCTTTATGCATTTTTACTGGTTATTGACATTTATAGAGTTTTTTAGGTTATATTTTTCTAAAATTATGTTTTTAGGAATGTACAATATTACGATTTTGTTGCCTTTGTCTGATGTTTTTAATATATCGTTTCTATGTTCTTTTGTTCTTTTAGTACGTTTGGATAATCCTTGTAGATTTGTAGTATGAATGTATCTCTATCGTTGTGTTTTTCTTCTGCTGAATGTTGTCACTCGGTTTGCAAATTTTAGTCTTGCTAATTCCTTTGTTTTGGGGTGCTGTGTTCATTTGATGCATTCATTAACTTCTACGAAGTGAAGAAGTGAGAATTTTGTATTATTAATGGGAAGTGCGAATTTATTTAAAAGTGAAAGGAGTCAATTAGTTTCTAGGAGGAAATGTTCAACTGTTTTATTGTGGATCCACTCTTTATTAAATTTTAATTCGAGTACTTTTAATTCAAGATATTTCAGTTTGTGTAATTTGTTCGCGAGTTTATTGTTTGTAGATCTTACTGTTACTGAAAAGTTTTTTCACTTGTTTTTGAAAGAATTCATTGTGTATTTGATTTATTGTTTATTATTAAACAATTATTCAACTATTATTGTTATTTATTTTGTGTGTTTATTCACAGAAAAAATCAGTCAAAAAAAATCAAATTTTGCACTTTTTTTTTTAAAAACGTGCAAAGTATATGAAAAATGTTAGTTCAAAGTATATGAAAAATGTTAGTTCAAAGTATATGAAAAATGTTAGTTTTTAACAGCTTTAAACCTTTCAACATAGCTTAAAATGATTTAGAAATTTGAGTTTTTCGTTCCGAAAGTGTACCTTAGTTTTCTATTATTAAGAACATTTGCGACACACCTTAAAATCAATATTTTTTCAAAACTTTATTCACATATTTCCTTTTCATTAAGATACAAGAAAATGATATAACCAGTCTAATATTTAGTTTTAATTGTGAATTTACTACTTTCTTTTATTTTTTCCTTTATTGCCGAATTTTACAAGTTATTTTTTCAACGTCGGTGTTTAAGACATAGTAGTGCACATTTATACTCATATTTACTATGATTTAGCTAAAAAACGACAAAAATAACCTTTTTCTTATTTAAATTTAATTAAAAATTTTGTGTAAGTATCGGCAAAAGAATTAAATTCTTTACAAATCTATTTGGCCAAATCTTAAATTTATTTTATTTATCTATTTTTTTAAGCTAAAAAAAGATAATTATTTTAATATAATATTAAAATTATGTGTTTTTTCAGATGGCTTCTTTAGCTGCTACAAATTGGCCAAAACCAATTGTATTAGTTCCATGTTTGTCATGGTCAACTGCATCTACAGTTTTTACGACGGTATGAATATATAAAAAAAATTTATTTAACTTTTTTTGTAATATTTTTTTTTTTAATTAAAAAAACGTGTCTTATTTTAATAGATTTCAGCTAATATCTTCTTATTACATTTAAGCCTTCGAATATGTTAATTACAATTTTTTAACAAAATAATAATATTTAAAATAATAATAAAAATAATAATAAAAATAATAATAAAAATAGTAATAAAAATAATAATAAAAGTAATTATAAAAATAGTGATAAAAATAGTAATAAAAATAATAATAATAATAAAAATAATAATAAAATAATTATGATGTTAAGATAATATAAACAAGTAAAGGAGAGCTAGATTAAGGCAAGATTAAATAATGCAGATGTCGAGAAAGAGATGTACTAAATGAGATACAGACTTAAATTTCCGCCAGGAATTTGTAAATAGATTCGGTGTTAGCTGGAGTAGGCTGAGCCAAACGATGGGAATGGGTATAACGGTATACCCTATATAGCATACAGAATGCCCTTTTTTGACTGGAAAAGATACGGCAGGAATCGAGGATATGAAATGGTAATATGGGACCACCGCACATGGTACAGGGAACTACCTAAGAGTAGGTGTGGGCAATTCTTAGATGTTAAAACATAGCAGTTTAATTTTTTGGTGATATTCTAGGAAAGGAGGAAGATATAATACGCTTCTTGGAGTTTGAAGAGCTCCATGCTATTTTAGCGGACTAAAAATTTCCCGTTTACGCCAATTGCTTGGTTAGTTAGTTGGTAGCAGTGGCAGGTCATTGGACTTCTATGTACCTCAATTAGCGATTTTTCGCCGTTTTACCCTACTATAAAAGAGAAGAGACTAAATCCATTCCGTCTTATTTAGATAATTTAAGAGGTCTCTCGTCTTCACCGTTGAACAGTCTGACAGACTGTAAAAAAAGTGTCTTCCTAAAAATCTGTTTCTTTTGGACGCCAAAGCCGGGTATTCACGGAGAAAATGTATTATGGTTTCTTTTTCCTGCGGGTTTCAACAACTTCTGCAGTAAGGATTATAAGGAATACGCAGTTTCCTATACACCTCTAGTATAATATACACCGGTACCGCCAGGAACACATTCATAGAGCCACCAGAGCGAGCTAAACTGTCAACACTCTCATTTCCTTCGATGCTATTATGTCCAGCAACCCAGATGCGTATGATGTCAGCCAACCGATTTAGCTCGTCGATTACCTCTTTAAATTTTTTTACTAGATTTTGTTGTGATGGATTCAAGGGCTTTGATTGCTGCCTGGCTGTCAATAAAGATGACCATACTATGTCTTTTCTTAATGTGATTTGAAATGTGGCGACTAGTTTCTCTAATTGCTAGAATTTCAGCCTGAAAAACCGTGACCTCATTAGATTTGAGAATTGTTTATGTTTTTAGATGGCGCGCGGATTCTTGCTTCTGCCCCGCTGTTCATTTTCGAGCCATCCAAATAGATTGAGATATCGTAATTTGCTTCCAAATTTTTTCTTTTACATTCATTTCTTGAAGCGAATATTGTCTGAAAATTTCTTTTAAAGCCTAGGCACGAATTCAGATAATCCAATGTCTTCCTATACAGACAGTTTGGAACTGTATCTAGAATCCGACTATGTCCATATGTTCGTTCCGATAAGATGCTTGTTGCTTTCAGTCTAACAGCCTGTTACAATAAAGATCGATAGCGCTGTTTTATGTGAAGATCAATAGATAGCAGGTAGGTGTAGCATCACATTTAGGGCGTTCGCAGGGATCGTCCTAAAAGCTTCTGTTAAGTCTGTTAAGTTTATCAATATTATAGCTCTTATTCAGAGCTGACCATCAAACGACAGCGCCATACATAAGAATTGCGACGTACAATGGCCGTGTACATCCAGTGTGTAATGTCGGGGCGAATCCCCTTTTTTTTGCCAAACATCCTTTTGCAAGAGTGGAAAGTTACATGAGCCTTGTTGATCAACGAAGATCAACATTGTGCTTCTAGTTTAGCTTACTATCCAACAAAATTTCTATATACAGTCGACGTTCGCAAATTAGAACCACTTTGTTTTGAAGGTAATTCTAATTTCTGAAAAATTCTAATTTCTGGACAAATTTTTATTCGAATATAAATAAAAAAATGTAGAAAACTCATTAAAAAAATACAATATATTTATTTTTTCGCTTTATTTTATTTAATAAACATATGAAAACGAAACTAAACAATCCCGGGGGAATACATATAACTTGTATTTTTTAACTAAATGCAACAAAACATAAAGATTTACTCCAATTACATCACATGCACATATTATATTTTTTTATATAAAAATGGAGTGTATTACAAAAAAAAAAAAAATAATTGCGATAATGTTCAAAGCTAAGAAATTAAGTTCAAAGTTAATAGAGACGCAGACGGCACAATCGGCAAGTTAAAGCTAATCTTACTGTGAGTTAATGTTGTTTGCTTTTTTGGTTTTTTTAAATCTGAGGTAACTATATCGTTGTGGAGAACCAGCAAATTGTTTATGTGCTTAGTGGAAAATGATTCACTATTGTTGCATCATTTCGTTAAATTATTATCATTCTCAATGGTTGTCGAGTTTAAAACAACTGTTAAGAATTCAAAAATATCGCATTATCTTCTATCTGAATACTCAACAACACTACTGGGTTTATATGTAGATCCTTTGTCAAGCACATCTTCATTCTATCTTTTAATATGTTTTATTTGTATAGAACATTTGCTATTGTTCAGATCTATTTCTTCTAAAAGAACAGAAATAACATAGATAAAACCATACAAAACAAAAACACGCACAGAAATTAGAATTTTTAATTCTAATTTTAGACAAACTTCAATTCTAATTTCTGGAAGATTCGAATTTCAGAGAGTTCTAATTTGTGAACTTCAACTGTATTTGGCATTTCCGATAGATTCAACTGTTGCCCGTTTAATGAAGGTAACTTGAAAGCCAGTATTTTGATTTTAGTGGTAAATAGCATCATTTTGGTTTTTCCTGGGTTAACACCTACTCCACATCCTGTGGCCCAAGTACTTATCCTAAGCAAGACCCTTTGCATAATATCACTTCATATATTAGGAAACAAACATGACACTAGAATAACCACATCATTCGCATGCAGAGATCGAACTCAACTTGCGAAAGTTCAAAACTTGGTGATTCTACTCCAACTAATAAGATAAGCGAGTCAGAAATAAAAGATCTTCAACAAAAGGTAATTGATCTGCAAGTATTATGCCAACAACTTAAAAAAGAAAATGAACGTCTTAAAGCGGAAAATGCCAATTTGAAAATAGTAAAAGATTCAAATTCGTTACCAACTAGTTGTTCGATTGAGAAATCCCAATAATATGTAACAGATGAAGACGAGCTAGCAAAACAGACGGATTACATAATAAAGAAATCTACACCCAATAAAAAACGTGGAGCAGAACCCTCACCTGAGGTAATCATTCAAGCCAAAAATATTGAAAAAACTGAAACCAATAAAAGAAGTGAGCTACGCCCGTCTCCAATAGTGATTTGAAATGTTAATCAATATCAAGAACTGTAAAGTACTATTGAAAAAAATGCCAAAAACAAATTTACAATACGATTACTTGGAAATGGTACTCAAAAAATCAATGTTTTTGATGGTGATGATTACAGAGCTGTCATTAAAAGTCTCTCCAATTCAAACTCCAACTGGTTTTCGTACGAAAATAAGCAGATACGACCCATCAGAGTCATTGCAAAAAATTTGCATTATTAATGTGAAAAAGAAACTATTGTCAGAGATTTACAGTAACAGGGCTTCCAAGGTTTGAGAACTAAAAACAAACTTAAACAAAAAGCAAAAGAACGATTAGACATATTTCTTCTAACGTTTGAACATAACGAAGACATTCGGAATAAGACATATTCTACACTCAATAGTCAAAATCGAAGTTGTCAAGTCTCCCAAACTTATACCACAGTGTAAAAGCTGCCAGGGGTTTGGCCACACTAAGAATTATTGTAATAAGATACCGAAATGTATTTAATGCACAGGCAATCACCTTACTATTAATTGCATAAAAGATGCTAACGAACAGCCAGTGTTACAACTGTGGTGAAAGCCATTCTACGAACTGTGCATAGAGATTTGCAATAATTCAAACGACAAAGTATGTATATTAGATTTAATTTTTTATTAGTGGCACACAACAATGCACAAGTTGCTTAATCAGGTAGATTTAATGCAAAGGGTTAACTAATAAAAACGGTTTGCGCAGAATTTTCTTCTTTGATCTTAGTTTTATATGATGTAATAAAATAATTCGCCTCACATATTTACCTTTCGCTAGAAAATATTTCTATGTATGATATGGTAAAAATATTTATTTGTGTCTATTTGAGTCAAGAGAGATTTTTAGAATGTTTAGAAATTGACTCAGTTTATAGCTAATATAAAAATATCTCCTTGAATATGTACTCAGTTTCTATATATATTGTATAGATTTTTATATAAATATGGAATTCAAGTAAAGATCAATAACACAACAATCTTGAAAAAGAGGAATTAAGTCAGGCGATGCTAAACATTTAATTTGTATATTAAATTATATTTGTAATTTGTAATATTTTATATATTAACTTTAAAAAGCAAACTAAAATTAATATAGAGCATTATTTTTTTTCAAATTTTTGATATTAAAACTATAAAAAAACCCATTATATTTTTTTTAAATAAATTTTTCTTCTAAATTTTTTTTATATTTCATAAATATATTAGTATTGTCAACATTTTAAATAATATTTAATTAATAAAACAACTTAATCTTTACGTGCTCGGTAGTCTACATTTATAGCATTTTGTACGAAAAAGTTTTATAAAAATGAATTTTCCACAACGACTGGGTGCGAGATTCTTAGTAGTTTCCTAAAAGAAGAAAATAATTTTTTACAGCCCTAGACCAAACTTTTCAAAACGATCACCTCCTAGCCGGTAGACTACATTTGTAGTCAC